TCAGTTCGGAAGTTCCTGAGCTTAATCTTTTTTTCTGCGTTCTTGATTTTCACGCAGTACTCAGTTCTGCCGATTTCTTTACACTGGTCGAGTACTTTCCCACATCCATCACGTGGCTTTTTAGTGCTATTTCACATATTTCATATTTGTTTGCATTTATGATTTCAGAATTGGTTTTTTTCCGTTTGTCCTCCATTTCCCACCTTGTGGCTGACCAGCCGGCATCTCTCGACATGAATATATATATATTCATGTCGAGATTATTTATCTTCTTAATTGATTGATGACGAAAATGCATGTCTGGAAATTAAGATTTCCATTTCTACTGTTTGTTGTAGATAACAAAATATGGAATGTGAAAGACAATTTATTATTCACTACAGTAATAGATATATATGTATGAGTTAAAGTCCAGTTTTGCAAATTTTAGCTCTTAAACGTTTAATATAAAATATAAAATAGCTATTTCTTTAAGCTAACGAAATCACTGTGTAACTCTCAGCCTAAAATGTGCCGTGTTAAAAAAAATCGCAGTCCAAATGTGATCATGACTTCGTCAATGACTATTTTGGCTAGCAACATTTTTCTTTCAGATAATTGACGGTGTCACCAAAATAAACTTGCAATGAGAGCAAGCTTTCAAAACTGGCAGCAGAAAATATCAGTGACTGAATTGCTATCTTTGTCCAGAGTTAAAAATTGAAAGGAGATTGGTGTTAAATGTGTCGTTATGAAGGAAGAAATACGAGATGTGTATTGGGAAAGTTGGAGTTCCGAATAAGAAAGAGATGACAGGGGTCAACAGGTCACCTTAATCATACCCAGATCCCGGTTTTCTTTCTTTCTCTATTTCTAGGTCACACAACCAACTGAATGACAGACTTATTGACTGGCTGGTTGACTGACCAACCGACCGACTATCTTATTGCTTAACTGAGAACAATGAAAGTACGAACAAAATAAAAGTAGTTTGAATGAGTCGGAGAAGAATATCAGTTTCTTTTAATTTTTAACGTTATAAATCATACTGAATCATGTGGTTAATGTTCCAACTTAATTTCTCACGTGTTCATCTTCACTAAAACTGCACACAAAACAATGTTCCATTGAAGTGCACTTTTCTTCAGTTAATTTATTAATTAACTCTAATAGTAAGAAGAATCAAAGGATAGTGAGGAGAAAGAACGCTTGAAGCAAATTTTATCAGTCCGCAACTGAAATCCGGGCGTTTAATGATGATGATATATCGGAAGCGACACAAGATGCATCATGGTCTGATCTCAATTATTCTCATTTTTAGAGAGATGATAAGGAAAACCTTTCAGGAATATTTTAGTTCATTACCTAGCAGAAGTGAAATGAAACATGCAACCATTTTAGTGCTTATATCTGATAAATTCTGTGGTAACTTTAATTTCAGTTTTGTATATTTTGGGTCATTAATAATAATTTTGAATTTTGGATTACTGTGTCTTTTAACAGAAGTAAATAAAAAGATGAAAAGCAATGAAATTTTACCTCCCTCTTTGCCAAATAAGAATGACAGCTGCATGTATTGTTAGATCAGCTATGGTATTGACTTGGGTATGGTCGAAATTCGATTACCGGTCATGATATTCCCAAGTATAAAAACATCTCAAATTATATCGCTGTAAATTATGAATGACTCATCTTAATCATGAAAACTTATGCATTCTAGTATGAATATTTAGCAAAGGTGTCATGTCGAGCTGAAAGTAGAACGAGAAACTAAAGATTTGAGTCGCATCACAGCACTGTCTTCTAATCATTACTATTTAATAGTCATATATATAGACGTTGTTGATGAAAGTCATAAATAAGTACGAAATATAATAATTTTCCCTTTTTTGATCCAACGCCTATTAACAAAGGGTTCTCAATTGTCATTAACTAACGCTTTCATCAACACTTCACGTGTAGATGCCATCAAGAATAAGGTGTTTCTGCAATGCTGTTAATAAATATCGTCTCAAATAGTTAAAGAATTTTAGCTAACTTCACTGGCCCATTTGCATTTTCCTTCAGGAATTTCAGCTCTCTGATACTGAAAATAGCAAATGTCGACAGAGTGCTGACGAAATTAATTTTTTTTTCAACAAAATGCAGAAAATGAAAGTCCAAATGTTTGGCACGGACGTTTTGCCGGACTATTTCGTGTTTTGTCAAGATTTCTTTTATGCAAAATTTATTCATCCGAGCAACATTCAGAACAGAAAGACTAGCTAAAACTTCGGAAATGCTTATTTAGCTTCGTACTGCATTGAAATCCTATTTGTAACAGTCTGTTTCAAATAATCATTGCTTTAGCAAGTGACTGAAGCAGTTTTCTCAACTGCATACCAAGTCAATAAAATTGTTATTGAAGTGTAATAAAATTTTAAATTTCAAAAGTAATAGTCCTAATTTATCGTTTTGTACTTCATAAAATCCTTTTCTCAAAGCTACCAATCGCCATTATTCCGAGTGTTTATTATTCTGATTAGATTTCCATATCTGTCGTGAATCGTTTGTAGAAAAATATTATTCATTGGAGTACGTCTAGTTGTATAAGTGTGATGCGAAAAACACACAGTGATGAAAGTAAGAGTGCAACAAACTAAAATATTGTGACATATTATGAAGAGATAAAGAAACATTCTTTTTGTAACAGTATAAAACTGTCCACTTAGTTATATTATATTTCTAAAATTGTCGCGGTTTCTTGCTCATCTGCTGTTTCACCTTTCTATGTTATTGTCAGCAGACACTGGCATTATTATCATTGTAGATTTCAGACCTCTCCTTCATAATCCATGTTGCGAGGAAGATTTTTAAGATTGTGCTATTATCTAGTATGTTTATAGCAATATAAAGTGCGGAAATACCTAAATAGCAATAAATGTCATTTGTAATTTAATCTCATTATGTTGTGAGCACAGGCAAACCAATGTGATTGTCTGACTTCCGTCTCTCATATTCACACGATAAAATACACGTTAATATGCATTATTACAAACAAATTTCTCAATTCATGCAACGCTTCAAATCATTACCATTTTTTTCCGACGGCATAATAATACCTGAACATTACTACATACAGCCCACATCAAGAACAGTCCGTGAGAACATGCTCGGTAGCAACATCAATTCCGCTACAGAAATGATGTGTTAACAGAGAACGCAATTTATTCATTATTACAACCACCATTTATTGCTCTTTTTAACACTACTATTGGTATTTCACGGTCAGCCGATAAATGACGTGGATTCTTGTAATTTTTAAGAAGTATTAAACGGTGAGGGGAGAGTTGATGTGTGTCGTAATCTGTGGATTAGTGGGTATTATTTCAGTGTTTATCTCGATTGTCACATGACCCTAAGTGCAAGATTTGGTAGATATTGTTAATTAGTGGTAATTAAGTAGTGTTGTCTCAATGGCAGAGGTCTAAGATAACGAAATGATTATTTATACTGAAGTAATTAATACCGCTGAAATGGTAGACGTCCATTTCATCATGCTGATGAGAGAATGAAAAAAAGCTGAGGTGTGATTGTGTGCAACTATCAAAAGAGAAGTAATGGTGGATTGTGCTTTTCTGCATGGCGTGATTCTCATTCCTTTGCTCTTTTAAGTCTATGTTTTCATTTTATAATGCAGCCACTGCTCTTATTAACTTGCATCATTTGCACGTGATTTATTCGTTGGGTTATGTATCGCTTAAATGAGTGAGTACTTTCACGCGGAGACTGTGTCATAGACTCCCACTACCAAATGGTTTGGCAAATACAAATTTTGAAGTTCTTTAAATATTGTGAACAAAAAGTAGCATGTAAACGACAATTTGACCAAGAGTAGTATTCAGTCTATGAAGTACTCGCGTGTTAAGTTATTTACCGGTTAGGTTGTTATTTTGAAATTGCTTAGACTATACTATTTGACTTTGGGTATCTAGCTTGTTTTCATTCGAAAAGGAGGTATAAATTAGAGCTCTTCTGTTTCATTGTAATCATTTTCTCAAATTTGTGAGAAATATACATGTGCAGTTATTTTCCGTATTTCTGTTAAGAGGTTGTAATTCATAAACTACTGTTAGTAGGTTTTATTTGTTTCAAATGACGTATCATTAGAGAAAGCTGTAAAAAATATAGGATAAGTTGGTCATTGTAATTACTAACATCTTGAACTCTTTTTTCTCCTCTTGGTCTATAAAACTGAATCTTAGACAAATATGATAAAGACTCGTATATTGTGTCAATAATAAATAAAGTATGAGTTAGTCTTAAGGAAGTTATGGACCGATTAAGTCATTAGTTGCTGATCATAGACTGTGTATGTTCACTGAGTTATAAAACAAAAGTGAAGAAAAAAGTTCGTCTATGAGCATCTATTTCAATCCACCGATCAGATTTGATGTTTTCTTGTTTGATCAATTGGTTCTAAATAGTTATTGGTTCTATAAATTTGTGCTTTGCATTCTATGAAATCTTTCCCAGAAAAATTATCAATTGACTCAAATTCTTCATCTCATTTTTTATTTTTTACAGGCGTTTTGCTAGTGTTTCTAGAGCTGGATGTATTTGATAAATTTTAGGCAGTGGCTGTTTGGTCTTATTACGATGTCAATTTCGACAATAAGACGACAAGTTAAGAATGTTGCTTATAATTTCTCAGATGCACAGGTTAAAGTTCGGGAAGCCACAAGGTAAAAATTCTTTTCAAGAAACGTTGAGAATTTATGTAAACCTTGAAATGTATATCTTGTCAGTCATACATTTTTTGTATGAAATTTCCTCGAGGAAATGCTTGCCGATATGATGATTGAATATGCATGTTTACTTTGATCCGTTGGGAAATATTAGTAAGTTTTTGTCATCTGCCAGTCGGGAAATATCCTTTTAATATGTTGCAGCAATGATCCTTGGGGACCTTCGACTGCGTTGATGTCTGAAATAGCTGATTTAACACATAATCCGATGTCTTTCACTGAGATCATGTCAATGTTGTGGAAGCGATTGAATGATCATGGGAAGAACTGGAGGCATGTGTACAAAAGTCTTGTTTTGTTGGATTACTTGATAAAAGTAAGGGTTTCATCAACTTCTGCGGATTCAGGAATACTCAAGAAAAAGTAAAAATAGAAATAAGTTTTAAATCTTACTTTCTTAAATCCCTAGTTCCTTAAATTCAGTTCTCTAATTGTGTGAATAAAGGAATAAGTGACATTGTGGTACTGTCATTTTATTTTAGTGTGGCAGTGAGAAAGTGGCTCAGCAGTGTCGAGAAAATATCTATTCAATTGAAACACTTAAAGATTTCCAACATATTGAAGATAATAGAGATCAAGGTATGAATGTGCGTGAGAAAGCAAAACAAATGGTCGGCTTGCTATATGACGAAGAACGGTTAAAAAATGAGCGAACAAAATTCATGATGACTAGGAAAAAGTTCATGTCTGGTTCTGGTATTTCTTCAGATGGTTCTGTACGACATATGCGTAAAAATGATACTGGTCCAGTCTTCGGTACTTCTTTGTATTATTTTCGCATTTTAGCGCACTTTGACTTCTAAAAAAATCTTCACTGGGGTCCATTTACTTTCTCAAAGAGATCAACGTCAGTAGGAATACGTGAAATAGTTTAATGGTTTAGGGTGCTAAGGTGATAGCGTTTTTTTTTTTAAATATTTTGTTTGTCGTGTAACGTTCTTCGCTATTACTTTCAGAATCAGAGTTAGAAGATGCGAGACCAGCTAGTGCTGGTGAAGAGGAAATGCAGTTGCAGATTGCACTTGCGCTGTCACGAGAAGAAAATGAAAAAGAGGAGGAACTACGGAAAAAGGATGATATTGGTTTACAGGTATACAGAAATTGTTCTGATGTCATGTAGTTCTGCTTACCGGTCTTCTGTATATGACCAACGTAGAAAGCAAGGTAAATAAACTGTTTGTACTGCATTTTAATTGGATACGTGTCAAATCGCTAAGAATTCAGATGGCATTGAATGAAAGTCGTCGTGAGATCGAGCGAATGAATTCCATAGATGTTGGTCAGACTACTGTATCAAGTTCAACTCTTTCGCAGAGTGCTATCGATGATTTGTTGTCCTTAGGAGTGGGTCAACCTGTTGAGCAGGTAGCACATCCGTGGGGTGGACCAACTGTGGATCCATGGACTCCAATTTCATGCGTTCCTCCTACAACTAATACTGGTTGGTAATTGAGGATGGACAGTAGACTGTTTTTGCTTGTAGATTGATTTTTTTTAAAAAGGCTTCGCTACAGCATAAATATCGAAAAAGTTAATGTGTGACCGTTATACTAACTTGATTAATCACTGGAAATTAGATGCAAATATTGCATTCCAGAGACATCTTTGTACTCTAGTATGCAAGCGAAAAATGATCCGTGGACCATAATATCTCCTAGAACCGAAGTACATTCAAAATCTGTTGACCCATGGACTTCTGTATCCCCATCTGTCGCTGACCAGAATATAACCTCAATGGTAGAAGAAAACTCCTCAAAACAAGTAAGCAATAGAAAGACTCCTGAAAGTTTTCTGGGCGAAAACTCTTCCCTCGTCAATTTAGACAACCTTCTCGGAACTACAAACAGCAATTCAAGACCAGGTCTTCATTTTTAAATTTTTGGATGTAATGCAGAAATTCGAGGCCTTTTAATTTGACTAATTATATCGGATTTTAGTTGATAATCAGAATCCGAAATTGCAGCAAGCAATCCATTTCTTTCTGGTACTGGCGGAACAGTACCAACAAATCCATTTGTCGCTCAACAACGTCCATCACCATCTCTCAATGAAATCATGAGTCAAAATCGTATGCCTTCAACGAGCAATGCAGCGCAACCGCCGTTGCAACCACCACTTATGCCAGTTCAGGCTTCAACTCAGCCCACAAATCCGTTCTGCTGACTTACTATAAACTGCTTCGTGCGACTAATTTTCCAAGTAAACTTAGATATGGTTTACCTGCATTTATGAGTACTTGTATTATTTCTCCTACTATTTCTTACTAATGCATGGTTACGCCAGGATTGGTCCTGCAAAATATCTTGTATATAAATGGTGGTACCATTTGAGTCGCCCACGCTTCAAAGAGTCAGTCCACCTAGTTTAAAAATTTTAAAACTTGCATATAGACTATGAAGTGTATTAGTTCTAGATGTTCATTGTTCTGGCCACTATTCAGTTGTCTTTCATTTGTAAATCATTAACCTGGCCTACATTATCCATTTCAAAGTACTAAAAACTCTCGATTTTTGATTGCATTCGGTATCCAATAATCTGCTTCTGTGATAGTAAAGCATAATTTGTGAATGTTTATTAATCATTATTATAATATCCTGCTATGGGAATTACACGTAAGCGATGCAGTTATTTGTGACCTAGAACTTATTTGGTGAACACAAGGTCTGTAAGATTTGGACTCTATTCTGGCGAATCCTTGCTTTATTATTTCCACAAAATTAGTTCATATACATGATGTTTAATTCATAAATTCCGCTGTTAATCTCCATCCTGACAAAAACTTGGGCCTTTTTTATCACTGGGGAAATATGAGAATCTGTCAAGAAAGAAAGAACTTTCCGATGGTTAAGTATCATTGAACTGCAGTTCATGAAAGTAATAGTTATAATGTTGATGCACGAATGGTAATGCAATCAGCTTTCAACAGATGCATCAAAAGCTCCATCTGATATCATGTCATTAAAATGGAAGGCATCATTAGTACCTAACATCGAATTCAAGATCGCGGACAGTCGAGAAGAACCATCTTCTTCAGTCTTGATTTGTTTCACCTGGAAAAGTTCTTATGTAGTGAGAGCAGATGTGAGATTTAAAAAAGTAAAAGATTACTCCTAGCTGGTTCAGTTGCCCTAGTAATCGGTCGACTTCATGCGAAGATCTCATAAATAACCATTCTAATTTTTCCTGACTGTTAATTACACATGCCGAGCGCTCAGCAGTAAAGACTCCTGTAGCCTGAGACACGGATGCCAAGTCAATACGCGCCAATAGTCGCATAAATCCATCAATCGCACAATTCAAACCTTCTTGGACCAGTAATATACCATTCTCACAGAGACAAGCAGCGCAAGTTACTAGCTCGTCGTTCATATCCTGGAATAAGTCTAAAGACATTAAAGATGGAACTTGAGACTTCATTGTTCTTTACAATTGGGATGGAAGTTCCAATGTTTCTAATTAAATTTCAATAATGATTTAATGCGGTGTAGTTCGAGAAAGAGAACTGAGCAACAAACCGAGGATGTCATGGCCGCATTTATCATAGATACCCATTTACGCATATCAGCAGCGCTTTGGCTAATGAATTGAATTTTGCTACTCTTTAGAATGATCTCGAACATATATGGTGAATGATCATCACTTTTCAGCGAAGTCACGTCTCTAAGAAACATCGTTCGTAAGGAAATATTTTTAAGACTTTGGCAGTTAGAAAAATAATTTCAAAACTACCTAAGAGATATAATGCGTTCGCCAAATTTGCAGCTAGAGTCAGAAAACTGATAAAGCTTCTTATTTTGCAAATGGAAGTAGCTTTGTTCAAAATAATTCGGACCAAGTAACCATGCAACACTAGAACGAATTTCTTTATGATACAAAAAGCCACTATGCTGTCCAGTTCCCGTGCTTGGGCTATACAAATCTGCTTGTCTCCACTGAACAAGAAAGTAACCCAGAAGTACTGGTGCATCCTGTAATTCACGAAAAGTCAAAAATTTCTAGCACGATTAAAAATAACAACCACTTAAAATAGTATTTCTGTACACATTCTGATTCCTTAGCGTTACTCGTTAGGGAACACTACAGTACAATTTTCAAGATTATTAACTTTGTCAGTGAAGTGTCACCTTGTGAAACTCATTGGATATAAAACGGCTAAGAACGTAATGCTGAGGAGTGCAGTCCCGGTATATATTAAGCTTATGCTTTTCTGGTTCAAAACTTGTTACATAGTTCTCATGTGCATACTCAACAGCATCCAAAACAGCAATACCGAGCTGTTCACATGCCGACCATACTGCCATAACTGACAAAAAATTTGGTTCATCTTTATAAACATCGTGATGTTTCTCAGCGTGAAAATACAAAACTTGTGAATCGGGGCCCACCTACAAATCAAAAGTATAAAAAACTCAAAAAATGCAAAAATTTAGATGTTTGTCAGTTTTTCTTAAATTTAAACATATCTTACATTGATACTGTCAATATATCGAAGCGGAAGATAAGCGCGCGTAACATAAAATTTTCCAGATGAAGAGTTGCTTTCGACTGACAATAGATACAGTGCTTGGTTTGAAAGAACAAGCAATCTCTTCCCAATTTCTCCAGTGCCGAAACTTGAGTACACCTTGAAAAAATTAGAAACTATTTTTCATTCAGACCACTTCCATTTCATGAATGTTTAAACTAAAAACAAAATTTTGATAAAAGATTTCATCTTTTATATTTACACTATGGTTCTATAGAAACACAATGCAAATCGAATACCTGGAAAAAACGCATAAATCTTTCAGCGTCGTGCTTGAAAACATTAATAGTAAGATCAATCACTTCACCCATATCTAACCTTGAAGACCATTTCAGAACTATTAAAAAAATACAAAGTGGATGAGCACGCACTCGCTTACTAATCAGAAATTTCAATTCACAGTAAGCACTCGCTTACTAATCTGAATTAAAATTCCCCATAAAGTAGGCTAGAGTTTATTTATTAAAAAAAACCTATAAGAGTTCTGTCATAAAATAAACTTCAACAGTCAACTATGAAAAGAGGCAAAGTGCACCTTATTTCTCCGCATGGAAGATCAGCTAATGTGGGCATTGGTGATGCTCCTTTTTCGCAATAATTTCGTTTAATGTCTTTCAAAGATACTTTTGCTCTTGATAAACTATTTTTTAAAGCAATATCGAAAGGATCCACTGGAATTGCAGTAGTGGTGACCTAAATTATGTAATGAAACTAATATTAACAAAAATATGCTAACAACAACGATCAAGAAACACTGAGCATTGAAAATGAATAATTAAGCAAACAGCTATCTGAATAAGGAAAATACATCAGAATCTCCCTGATTGGTATCAAACGAATTTACATCCTTGCTGCCCACATTTGTAAGATCTTTACTTTCTAAACCATCACGATCTGCTTGTAATGATTCACTTCTCTCACGTTCTATAAGTTGTCCAAAAATTTGATCCTGAAAGCATGCTTATTCAATTTTCACTGATAAATACTGCATTATGTGCCTATCTCAGTGTTAAAACAAATAAGTATAATGCCAGCAAAAACTATGTTTCATGACCAAAAATTAATCACCACTAAAATTACAAAAATATTACGGGATCATTTTCTAAAACAGCAATGTTGTCGTTATGAGGTACGGAGTAAATTTCAACAAGATCTGCAGGTATAGGGACATCAAGCAACGCAGAAGAAAAATCATGAAGATTCGTTGAGAGTTCTGGTTGAGGTTTTTCATGCAACACTGCTAAATTTTCACGTTTTGATTTATATGGAACGACTACATGATCGTTCGAAGCAGACGGTCGCTGATTGCCAGATGAGCACCGCATTTGTGCGATGGGAACATCATTATTCTTTTCGAAAGGTTTCTAAATTAAGCAAATAATTACCAAAATTTTGTCCATAGCTAGCGAAAAGTTATATTTTGATTTCACCGAACATTGAACTGACTTAAAATTAACTTGAAGAACATACTTTTGAAAAAGAAACTAATATGCGGGAGTAAATTTTTAGAGCCGAATTTCCGCGCATCCATTTTCCAAGCTTTTATTGAGATTATTTACTGATATAATGCAGAAAATGGAATTTCTAGAAGTATTTAGATCAACTGTTAAAAGAGAACTCAGAAACTGACATTAAAATACAGTTTGAGATAATCAGAACGATTGGCAACAGACCAAAAATTTGAACTGTACAACAGAAAAGTCCATCATTTTCCAGGCAATACGTGAGAGAGTAGGCTGACTTGCCATCAAAGCCTCCTTATGATAAAATTTCAAAACTATCTCCATATTTTGTTGAAAAGACTGAAACGAAGATTTATCAATTAAGAGCAATTACGATTATTTTCAAAAATGTAACTAAAGTCAAATATTTTATCAGCATAGAATTATCGAAGACTTGCCTGTTCTGAACATTCCCTGCATAAAACATCTAAACCACTAAAATTAATGAAATACAAACTAAGTAATGCAACTACTAACCTGAAAATAGTACAATAACGTTTGCTTATTAAGAGAGTCTTTAAGCCATGCAACTGATAACTGTCGCGTCGAAGTAACACACCACTCTCGTTTCAGATACTTCGTTTCGCTCCGAGACATAAATTCCTTCACAAACATCCAATACAACCGATAGCCACCAATAAACCTAAGAAACGGATGTTTCTGAGTTTCGAATACAAAAACAGGATAAGATGTTAATTTTTATTCCCAATGATTTTAATTTACAGGAATAAATCACATTAAACAAAGTTAAGCACTGAAATATCTTAAGTCTACAGCAGTCTCGTATAATTCGAATGAAATTTTTAATTGATCGACTAAGTGATAGAAGTACAAGCTACTTTTTCTGAAATTTATTCATCAAATTCAATATTTTGAAAGAAACAAAAAAAAATGACTTACACATACCCGTATGATAAAGAGAAATCAAAGAATGTTATAAGATTCCGTGCCGCAACAGAAGACGAATCAAGAGGAGCATATGAGCCTCTCAAAGATTGTTCTTTCCACTCAGCTACAGCATCTCTGATAGCACAAATAAGTGAATCTTCAATGTCAGGATTAAATGAAGAATTGACTTCTGAAAGCCAGCCTTTGCCGTTATTTAAACGGTCCACTGGGGCTACTGTAATCATTTTTCAGCCTGAATAAATCATTTACATTAAATATCAGACAATAATAATAATAGTAATTAATAATAACAATAATTAATAATAATAATAATAATAACGAGAAAAGAGTCCGAATTCTTCAATCTGTTCTGAAAAATATACATGGAGTATGGAAAGTTTTTTCTCAATGATGCAATTAACAGCGACTAAAACTCACACGAATTATTGGTAATGCCAGCACATTACTACTGAGAATAAAAATGAGCTTGCACTACAGTCAACAAACACGTTACTCACCATATTGGTTACTAGTTTATCTCTTCTAATACTGTCATAATATAAGAGAAAATAAAAGTAACAGCTCAAAAAATCATCACACTTGTGCATGAAGAAACTTTTGGAGATTTCGGCATTCACTGACTTCATTACTCAAATCATTCCTACTTTAACTATAGTTAAGCTGACCCTAATACCTTCTTTATCATTTCATCCTAGAACTGTTTGAACCTTAGTCTGTCAGTAGTACTTCATAGCCACCGCTACTTTCCACAGATGCAGCAACATAATCCCTGTGCATCAAGTGACGAACTGGATAGCAGATACAAGAAACACAATAAGGTTTACATTACTTGCACACTCTACGAAACATCCTTCTTTTCTTTAAACACTCCTACTTTCTCTCACTGCCTCGTGTCAACTGATCAACAAGAGGTTTGACTGCTGCAGAATGGGTTTCACGTGTTCGTTCGATTTGCTTATGAAACTGTGTTGTTGTTTTCATTTGCTTCATTTATATTTAAGCATCCGTCGATCTCTGTGTTAAGGTAATGCAAATTACTCCTTTTTAATTTTAGGAGGCTGTAGGTAATCACAATCTTACTAGCAATACAGTGTAACATTGCAGGTGGTAGCTGTTAGCGCTTAGTGTTAGTGAGTACATTTTATTAACAATATGCCGTTGAGAAACCGCACTGATATGAAAAGAACTGAAACGGAACGTTTGCAAGGTACTTTTTTATTCCTTTTATGAGTGATTATTAGTTTCAACAAATTACTATTGCTTCGTAACTTCTGACTTTTTGCCAAATTTCAGTGTGACAAGCTAGAATAAATTTTATGACTTTGACTCGGTCAATTTTACTGCAGCAATGGTTGTCGATTTATTGCGAGAAGAAGAAAATAAGTATTGTGCTGATTGTGAGGCTAAACAGCCTCGATGGGCGTCTTGGAACCTTGGCGTTTTTCTTTGCATCCGATGTGCCGGTATTCATCGTAATTTAGGTGTTCATCTCACTAAGGTATTGTCACTAGTGTAAAGTTCGTAGCCGGAGTTACTGTTTTTAGTTTCTATCTATTAATAATGCGTAATCTTCAGTTTTTTGAGCTAATAAAAATTCTTAAGGTAAAGTCAGTTAATTTGGATTCATGGACTGCGGAGCAAGTTCAAAGTATGCGTGTTATGGGCAATAAAATGGCACGTCACGTCTATGAAGCAGAGCTACCCGAACATTTTCGCAGGCCTCAAACAGATTCTGCGCTAGAATCATTCATCAGAGCAAAATATGAGCAGAAGAGGTCATCTCTTGTGTTTCACTTAAGGTTGTCTGTGAGTTTCAGATATCTTTTTTTATCATGTTCTTCATGTTCTCAATTATTTCAGATATATTCTGAAAGATTGGTCTCCACCTCCCGTTAATGCAAGTGATCTCCCTCTTCATGATAAAAAGAATTTTGACCGTAGTAAGTGTTATTCGTAATCTAATAAGATTCAAGCTGTAATAATCGCTAAAATTATTGTATTATCATTTTTAAAAATGTCTGTCGCATTTCTTAAAATACTTTTTATGTGCTGTATTACGTAAAAATATGCGATTACAAGGCTTTGTTTTTTAATACAATTTCATTTATCATAATAATTATTAGCATTATCCAAAACCATCCCAATAGAAATGATTAAGGCTCTCGTAGCAGTGTCAAAGAATTGGAATTAAAGAAGACGGGAAATGTAATCAAGAACTCGAATATATCAAAAGCTGTCGGTCATCCTAAGATTGAGAGATTGGCCGACATACCGCTTTTAGATTTAAGTACTCCTTCACTGAAAGTCGGTTCAAACTTCTGTGTGCACAGTTTTAATTTTGGTTTGCAACAAAAAGTTAAATGTTAATAATCAGTTTGGGGGTTTTTAATTTGTAATAAAAAGTAATTGAATAATATTTGTTCCAGTTCTAAATATTTTGACTAGATTTGTAGTAACGCTTTTTATGTCCAGTATTTTCTGTACATTTTAGCATTCTCTTCTGATAATTGTTTTTCAGCCTAGAAATGCAGATTCTCAGATTTTTTCTGAAGTGGATACGAACGTAGCTGCTAATTTAGAAATGAGTATTAATGTAGGAATGAATGATAGTGATGGAATGGAAGATTTTGGTCCAATTGTTTCTGCTCCTCCTGCAAGTTCAAAGTCTAATACTTTTGTTGCTGATGCTACAGCGACTTCTTCCAGCGGCAAGAGTGGTTTCGTTAGTTATAACTCAGAAAATCACTTGGAGGATTTAGTATCCATGCTAGGAACTAATCCTGTATTACCTGGTAGGATTCAAAATATTATGGTATATAGATCCTTAGTCACTGTTGTATCAAACAGCAGAACGTTCCATAATTTCATTATTTGTTTAGAGAAGAAAAGCACCTCAGATATTCTCGCTTTGTATGCTGCTCTGCCCAATTTTCATCTCCCGTCAACGAAACATACGCATCAATTTCCCGAGGTGCTTTTTCGGTTTCGAAAATTCGATTTTTATTTTGAAATGAATTTATTTTTTCATCGTCCATTCATTTCTGCTAGCGATGTTTTCAAATTTATAACTGCTAGTTTAAGTGTGCTTATACTTTTTAGCTAGTGGTTTTTTTAGTTTTATGTGTAGAAGTATATAATTTAAATATCAAAATTTACTAATAAAAGTATAAATTAAATGAACGTTTATACCCCCTGTGTTTGAATGTTTTTTTTTCTTTTAACAGACTTTATTCTAATAAGTTTATTGATTTCTGTCAGCCGGTTGTGTCAAATGCTGGATTATTTGTTAGCCCTTCCGTGGTTTCTCAAACTCCATCGTCATATGTATCTGAAAGCAGTCGTAAGTTCTTTTAAATGAAAATATTCAATAAATCATTGATAGAATCTGATTTTTTCTCATTTATAAAGTGTATAATTTTACTTAATGGCCTTTTGTTAGTTGTTTTACACTCAGTTACAATAGATGATATGTCTTCAAATTGCAGATGCACCTTCAAATGCATTTGGATCATCATTTACTTCTTCAAATGGCAAACTGTTTCCAAATCGTGAAACAGCAGCAATTTTTGCTGCTGCTTCACCTTTTGTCAGTAATTCTAGTGTGACACCAAATATACCTTCATCTAATACTGCTGAACTCGCCAGCAAATCGCCGGAATCAAATGCGGTTTGTATCGAATTAATCATTTTGTTTAATATATGTATAACTTATGTTTTGAGAGTTTCTGACATTTCCGTACTACAATTAAAATGCGAAGAAAACAGTTGGTAATAAAAAATTTTCATTTAAAAAAACATTTATTGGTTATGTAATATAGGTGGTTAAAAAATTCATGAAAATTTCTCTGGATTTAACAAAAGTTGTCAGCAGTTTTTGGCAGATACGTACGAAATATTTATGTTAGGCATTAAAATACAACGAAGTGCTAAAAGATAAAGAATATCGTGACAAATATTTCTCAGAATCTCTTAACTCTGTATAACAATTTAAAATGAAAGAGGGTCTACGCAGTAATTTTTGTCAGTGGGTAGAGTGAAATTTTTACGGATTATGTATGAAAAATTATGGCACATGTAGTGGGAGCCATTTTGAGATTTTTTGTTTCGTAATCATTGTTGCTATGTCCATTATTTAATTTCTAGCTTAAAGTTTATTGAGAATAAGTCAATTTCTTTATTTAATTGCTACACAGTGTCTTTTTTTAATCATGTAGCAGATTACTTATAGATAATCAAAGTAACTAGGAAGAACCAGCCATCAATTCATCAAATTCTTTTTTCTTTAGTCTTCCTTTTTTCATCTTCTTCAGCAACGCGAAATCAGAACCAAAGTTATTGGTGTCCTCTTTAACTTCGCAATTTCGCCGTTTTTTTGAAAAATTTTTTAGCTTTACGTTACCAGTCGACATGTTTTTTGAGATGCTCTCCGGTAATACTTCGGCATTCTTGTGAGCCAAAAACTTTTTCGGTACATAGCATGTTCATAATCTAAACAAGATAAGATGTAGAAAGATTATCGCAAACGTTTTTTCATCCAATCTTTTCTTTGTTATTTATTGAAAACTGAAAAGTTACCAGTGAAGTTATAACTTTATTTTGTAGAATGCGAGTAATCCGATCTTGAATAATTTCCTGGCGGATTTCAGTCGATTAGGTATGAAAAGCGAATCTACAGATCAGAGTAGTGGCCAGGAAAACATTTCATGGAACTAGAATTCCAGAAACACATAGTTTGATCCAGTTTGGAAAAATAGGAAGTGTGCTGATTTGAAATTTCGGGAGTCGATCTAATAAAACTTAATGCAGCTAGGTCTAATTTAGATACTCTGTATTCCTTACTGCTTCATCTATTTACAAATTTTTAGCCACTTTTTATCTGCTGTGGCGACATTTTTCGTGAAATATGAGTCTCTTTTATTTTTTGTTTTGTTTCTTCTGCATTGTCCCGTATATAGCTAAAATTTTTCTTAGTCTCTTTATTTTGCCATATTTTTATTGCTGCTGGTATTTGCGTAAAAACTTGCAATTTTTACTCGTTCATATCTAACATAAATACGGAGTTCATGCCTTATGTCAGCAACATGCATTAGTAATTTATTAAACTAAAATCAAAATACGTTTTGTAAATAATTTCCTATTATTTTTGGTATATTAAGCTTTAAGTTTTTGATTTCGGAATCAATTTTAGCTTTCATAAATCACTTCTCAATAGAGTTGCACAGTACTTGCTCTATCTTTGTGTTACTTACTGATTGGTTGTGTGTTCATCGTTAATAATGTGTATATTATATTTGCCACTCTTTTAATTTAATTAATGATTTAAAAAATTGTGGATTGCTTACTCTAAAGAGATGAGTAATCCAAAGACGGCATTTTATGTTTCTTATTCCGGGTGCCGTATTTTCTCATGGTTGTTTTCTGCCACGATGCTTATATTTAACATTTTCAATCATTCAAATATCATCAACAAGTTAATCTTTATTAATACTGACGACTTGTAACTGTTTAAAATATCTTTTTATGTTTTTGATACAGTGTTGATTCGCGCATGTGGGATGTTTTGGTGTTGTATCAGAATATATATCAATCACTAAAGTAATATATGTAAATTGTCGATCGTGTAAATGTGGTTTAATAAATGATAGCATTAACTATAAAATGCATCAAGTTTTGTTTATTTGTGAACTACTGCTCTTTTACTGATACAGTAAGCTAGAGCTACTATGTGTTTCGTTAACCATTTGTTTGTGGTTATTAGGTTTCAGCTACGTTCCTGCGTAAATTTTAATATTTTTACAGGATTTGGAGTACTACGGTGCAAGAATTAGGCATATCAGACAAAGTCTAGTTTCATAGACGTCTTGTAATTTACTTTAGAATAACTATGATTGGTACACTTTTTTCCGGTGCATTTTTCACTTTTATAACGAAATTGTAAAAACCTTCATGAGAACAAATAAAATTTAAGTTTTAGTAAAATTAGTTTTCACTTCACTTATATTTTGTAAACTAACTGGTTGAAAGTACTGAAGTATGGCTGTTACTTCGACATTATTGGCGTTAATTATTATGAATCTACCTCAAAGAATTTTATGTCAAATATCTGAACGGAATAATTTAAATTCATGGGGAGTAAATAAAGTGATTTCTTATTTATTGATTGATTAAGTCATTCTTGATTTGCTTAAAAAAGTTGTAGCGATAAAACAGCAAACTTTATCTTGCTTCTTCATGTGTATTTGAATTTATGCACAAGCGAAACAGTTATGAAATTAAGTGAATTAGCAGAAACGAAGAAGCATGTTTCAGAATGAAAAAAGCCAGAAGATTACAGACGTAAATGAAAGCAGCAAATGTCGAGCATTACTTGCTAAATTTTTTCATTTTTAGCTCTCTTTACTGATGTAATCGTTGGCTACAGACATTCCTTATTTCATACCCAACATAAATGAATGATACATTTTACTTTAAAAAAGTGGTGGATTTTAAATTTAAATTGGGCTTGTTTTTTTCTTTCTTATCTTGGTTTTATTGAAATAACATGAACAGTCTTTAAGTTCAAGATCATGTAGGAGAATATATTTATATTATTTATTTCCAATAAATAATGTAAATATATTTTCAGTCATATTACCCTCTGTTTTTCTGAAGAAGTGTCAGCGAATTATTTATCAGAAAGCTGTTATTACAAAAATAAATTTGCTTGTTGATGCCAGTGAAAATAATAAAGAAAAGTGATTCAGAATATGCAGCTCTGTGTTCAATATAGAATGTATATAATGCTTGTGCTCAAAACATGCTGTTTTCTCGCACAACATCGTCGGAAGTATTTTTTTACCTTAGCAGTAAACAAAACTGGAAAGATAAATATGATGATTTAAAAAGGAGTGGATTAAATTTAGGATTATACATTTTTAACTGATCTCATATTTAAAGCAACGAGCTTTATTTTTCAACCACTCAATATTTTTCATAATTCTGATTTTCATCTTTGTTATTTGATAATGTTACATTCAGGTGATAATGCGAGGAAAATAGAGATGCTCAGACATTTCTTTAGTTTTTACGTTGAAATGTTCAGCAATATGTTCCAAATATATGATTAGAACATTACATTGAATTCTCAACACAGTCAAGGGATATGTCATGGAGTGAAGTGATCAAGACAATCATATTAATCCAAATGACCTCATCTATCAATTTATCATCATTTTCAGCTGAATATGAAATTTTTTTAGATCAAACAATGTAACTCGCGAAAAAGTTGAAGTTTTTTGGATTCAAAATCAGTAATGGATGGTCGGAAAAAATGTCAGTTCTTTGTTTTTTACTAAAACTTTAAAAAAATGGTTTGCAGATGCTAACGTTCTAAAAAATTTTAAATAAACTCTTAAAGACTTCTTAATAATACTTAAAAATTTTTTTTCTATGAGCTTTCTAAATTATATATAAGTTTAGAAAACCACTTGCAATTATTTTCCAAACTTATCTTAATAAACCAAAACCGTGATGGAAATGACCCACGTAGTTATTTTGACAGTGATATTTTGCGCTATCATGTGAAGATACGATCCTAATTCTTGAGAATCAGACAAACTTGCTAATTCAATGCTTACTGAAACTAACTCTGTATAGTAAACTGAATTTCGATCTCGATTTGCATATCCAAAGTTCTTTTTATTGCTTGCAATGCTGAAGTCAAAACTGAATTTTTGACCTTTTGGCATAAACAAGTTTTACAAACATTGAAATCAAACAAATTAGGGGCATTTGGTGCATTACGAGGAAGAAAGAGTTAAGTACACAGAACAGAAGAATTAAAGTAAGAATACAATTACATGGTCAGAAGTTTATCAGTAGAGAATAAGTATGAAAATTGAGATCTGTAATAAATCAAAGTACTCAAATAATTGTGAAACATCAAGAATATTCTGCAAAATTCACGACCGTTGCTTGAAAACGTATATCATGCAGCAGGTAATTAATTCCATCATATTGTGGCATGCTAGTTTGGTCGCTCAAATCAATTGATTAATATACTCGAAATTATTATTGATTATAATTATAAGTCGAATTGCTTTTTCACTTTCATAAATAAATAAAAGCAAAGAGTAAATTGTGTTACATGTATAATATTATTTTCTCACAATATTATTCTTCATTTAGTACTGAGAATGAAGTTGTAAATATGCCTGCATGATTTCATGCTTTCCATCAGAGTAATTTCAAGTCTTCTGTTTTCTCAAAGCACTAATACTAATAAATAGATTATTGCTTGTAAAAGAAAGAAATCAGTAACTAAAATACATGTTCCCACAAAAATGAGCAAAATAAGAATTTTGGTTACAGATATGCGGGTTGTTCAGGGCGCAAAGCAATGATTCGCCGTAGATATTCGCTATCACGAAAGAAATCAGATTGGAATGAATTATGCCGGATTGTAGACATTCCAGATGAACTCTCATCAATAAAACGTAGTTTCATTAGTAGTTCATGAGGTTCAAATGGTCGATCTCGTAATTCGCTATCCAAAAATGCTCTCACATCATTCCAAGTAACCTAATTTGTACCAGAAATTTTTAATGTTGAAATCATCAGCTTTATGTGCAAAAGTAAATAATTCACTATTACATCTTTCAGTACCGTTTAAATTTGAAAAAAAAAGTACAAAAAAATTGCATATTAACTTTTCCTCCTTTCTTCTTCCGCATGGCTCCTAGCAACGCTACAATTTCTCTAAGTTCGTCGCTCATGCCCAGAAATTTTTTGGCTCGACCAAAGTAATGAATTCGAGTGAAATATGCTTTTAAATGTGTTGAAGCCAAATCAACACACATTGTCACAACTGACAAGCCTATAACCTAAGCCATGACAGTTCAATTATACTGTGATTTTTCATGATTTCATTTTTTATTTTTCATTGGTTAGCATAAGCAGTATTACTGTCAACACCTCTTATATCCTATTTAGCTTCAGAACTTTTTAATGCTTCCAGAATTACTGCATCACATCACTTATAAAATTAGGAACCAAAGCATGAAAAATTGGATTTATGATTAGCAATCAATGAAAGAATGTTACATTTATGCACATACATGTTTGAAGCCGAAATTTTTGAGGAGCACTAAGAAATTTTGCATGCTTTTTGAAGTGATTTTTATCAGACGCCAAAAAGGTATAAAATTGATTGCTAATTAAAAAGCTACTTTATAAAAGAAGTTTTGGTGGTATTTAATTGAAAATATTTTCGAAAGAAAGCTGAACAAGGTGATAACATGGTGCAGAAAACACGTCATTATCCATGAAATACTTCGGAAACGAGGTACGTTTGGAATATAAGTTTGAAAGTAAAATTAGAAAACCAACCAACGATAACAAAAGCTACGATGAGCGATAAGAAAATATAGTCAACAACGACAATATCACCAAGGCCGACAGTGACGATAAGATTGAAACCAAAATGAAAAGCGTGAATAAATGACCAAGAACGCTCCCAATTAATGAACATTGCAGAGCCCATAGAGCAATACAAACAAATACATGAGACATAAGCTCCTAAATTCATGATTCTTTTTCACTTGAAAAAAGACAAAAAACATTTTTTATTTCTCATGCAATCAATCTCCTGTACTAGAAATTCAAATGTCCGGAGATTTAATTCAAAATTTACTAAACTTTGATTTGAATAAAAAATACTTAACGCATTAATTTTTTTCATAACTTAGGAATCAATAGTAATTCAGATCTATACCAATTGAAAACCATAATTTGCCATCAGTCCCTTCTAAGCCAAGAATATCAATTACTTCTGACTGACCACTGCTAGACTGCAATGATTTTTTTCTCATATAGCGCTTTCGACATAGAATTTGCTGAAAATTATCATGATATAAATAACAGCACAGTTTGTTTGATGCCTAAAATGCTAGGAAACAAAATTAACCTTTTGATAATCAGAAATATTTTACACAGTTTACTATGTCAATTCATACATAAAAAATCGGCTTTAAATACCTTTTTTCTAATTTGTTGTGAAAGATATTTTCATCGTTCTACTAGAAATGAAAGCTTGATAAATCAAAATAATACATAGCTGACCTTCACTTTGTGCATTATTCGGTTCCAGGTTGAAATGAAACGAAGCAGTGTTTCGGACAAAAATTTGCCTATATCTGCAGCTGTGATAAACATAAGAGGTATACCAACTAAAGCAAATGCTACAGCAAATACTTTCCCCAAATCTGTATCAACTGACACTTCACCGTATCCTATAAAATATCACCCATCGAAGCTAAATCAAAGAAGTACAAACTCCCACGCTATTAAAGCTAGCTGTGAAATTTTAGGAAATTTAATGCTGGACATCAAGTTTAGGAGCTCACAGAATGTTTACCACATGTAGTTAGGACAGTAAGCACATATAATAAGGCAGTTGGGAAAGTCCACTTGTTATGCATGGTATTTATATCATCTGGTTTTCGAAGTTCATAGCGGATCGGGCGCCGATCATCAACAATTTCTGATACAGAAATCATATACTCTCTAGAAATCAAGGATTGTTGAAGGATAGTCGAATTATTATTAAAATGTCGGTATTAGATTTTTTATTTATGTATGAAAAAATTGTTGGAGATGAAAAATTTCAGAAGATTTAAAGACCTGAAAATTGTTGCCCATTCCGAGCGATCAACTGAACGTATTCCAAGTTGTGCATCATTCAATATAGACCAGCTGTCGGCTGTGAAATTTTTCATCATATTTGACAAACGAACTAATTTTCTGGATCGAGCCATCAGTTCTGTCCTGGTCTCTAGTACCATAAGCATCCATGCACCAAGACACAAATAGCCAATCAACACTGATACCAATATTACATGTGGTATTAAGATTTTGAATAACTGCAAATACATATATGTAAGCTATTGAGTAAGTTCATATAAGTAATCATGTATATATATATATATATATATATATATATA